AAGGACCACCTCGGCAAGTCGCTCAAGGACATGCCAGCCCCCGAAGACGTGGACTTTATATATTGCGGGCCGCCTTGGTATGTATCTGTATTCTTTGGCTCTCTTCAATTGGGCTTCCGGAACTGACGAGTGTGTTGTATGTTTGTAGCCAGGGCTTTTCAGGTATCAATCGCTTTAAGAAGGCTGACGACATCAAGAACTCACTTGTGTGTACTGCGTTGTCGTACGTCGACTTTTACAAACCCGAGTATTTCCTCCTCGAGAATGTGCGCGGCATGGTCTCATTCAAGCTCGGCGGCGAGCAAGACGGCACTAACAAGATCAAGGGTGGAATCAAAATGGGCGTTGTTAAGTTTATTTTGAGGTGTTTGACCAGCATGGGCTATCAGACCCGCTTCAGCATTCAACAAGCCGGCCAATACGGTGTGGCACAATCGCGCCGCCGCTTCTTCGTGTGGGGCGCTCGCCGCGGCTCCTCCTTACCCGACTTCCCGCAGCCATCCAACTGCTTTCCCAAACAGGGCTCGCTGGCCATCACACTTCCGAACGGCCACTCCTTTTCCTACCTGCGTCGTACCAATGGGCAAGCACCGCATGCGGCCGTCACGGTGGGTGACTCGATCTCGGAGTTACCTGGATTCGAGTATCGCAACCCGCACGACGTGTATCCGGCTACAGATAGGGATAAGGAACAGGAAAGGGATGCGCAAGTGCCGAGTCTTGTAGCGGATGGCAGTTGTGTAGGGAAATTGGTGCAGGATTACGAGAGGCCAGCGCTAACAGAATTTCAGAGAAAAATCAGAAGTGGCAGCGAGAAGCTGCATGGTCATGTCACCAGGGGATTCAACAAGCTCAATGTGGAGAGGATCTGTTGCATTGAGATGAGAGCCGGGGCGGATCATTCGAGTAAGTATAGCTTTGCTCAGGTTTGAGGTTCGGAGTGAGGATGAGCGTTGAAGAGGAGCCTGATATTTGTTAGGATAGGATCGGTGAGTTTGTGTGATGGAAACTGTCTACTGAAAATACATTTAATTGGGTTCTCTATCTTAGGTCTGCCTGAAAAGCTCAAGCCCTGGTGTTTACATGATGTAGCCTCGGCAGCCTCGCGCCACAATGGCTGGAAGGGTCTATACGGCCGCCTTAACTTTGATGGCCAGTTCCAAACCACCTTGACAGAGATGTCGCCCATGGGCAAGCAAGGCGTACGTATACTACCTTCTCCCCTCCCCTTTCCTCATTCTCGCCTTTCACTCTCTCACACTAAACATCCTCTGCCCTCCTTTCCCCACAGACGGTTCTCCACCCTACCCAGCGCCGTGTCCTGACGGTACGTGAGTGCGCGCGCTCGCAGGGCTTCCCCGATCGGTTTGTCTTCCACAGTACAGCCCCTGATGGTACGGGATCCTACATAAAGGACTGCTACCGGCAAATAGGCAATGCCGTGCCGGTACCGCTGGCCTTCGCGCTTGGAGTCAAATTGCGTGAAGCCATGATGGACAAGTGGCTCGAGGAAGAGGAAAGGAAAAATAAGGGAAAGGGAAAGGGAAAGGGAAAGGGAAAGGCTTGATGAGCGAGGAAGAGTAGCGACGTGGAATTTATTCTTTATGAACGCAACTTGAAGGTCTGCTCGAACACTCGTCGTGTCCAAAGCTCTGACAACTAATTGGAACCGTGATTGATACAGTTATTAGAGATGCTGCGAGGTGTTGAAAACATAGTAGCGTTGTGCTGGTCTTGCTTTTTATTTTATTTCTTATTTCTTATTTTTTATTTTATGTTTTATTTATTTATTTTTTTCATTATTCTTCAGAAAACAGCAAAATGTCGCGGCTTCGCCGTTTATACTTTTTTTTTTTTTCTCAGCTTGTCCATGAAGATTCAATTTTCCACCAAAACTGTTTCTGTATTCAGATTTTTTTATTGCACCATTTATTTTTCTTTATTTCTCAACGAATGTATATCATTCGGTGTCTTTTGTCTAGTTCGGATGCTATGTTTCAAGGGATAGTGTCGTTGTTGCAAATAAATTTCATGGCATCAACCTAAGCCTTTGTGTTGGGATTTTACCAAAAGAGTGCATGATGATTCTATAAAATAGATTTTAGCCGAAAAGAGGTGTATAATTAATATCAAACGTCAGTAAACTACATGTATGTATGTTACGGAAAGATGCAGGATTATAGAAAGACATAAAGATGGATGACAAGTTAGCCCTGTAAGCTGGTTTCGCCCTGTGACCTGCAAGCCGACCCTTAAAAACTGGCAAATCCCTAAACAAGGGAGACCGCGACGTTGTGTGACCCACCAAGGTTCTCGACATTTATCCTTGTATACTGTTTTTCGGGCGATCTCCCCAAGGATTGCGGTGTTTCATAATTAACGCCTGGGCACCCAAAGGAGTCGGCTTGGTTGGCAATAGTGTCATGGGTAAGTAAATAAGATTATGGAAGAAGAAAAAAAAAAAGTGAATCCTAAAAAAAAAAAATAACGATTGATGAAAAACAAGGAATAGGAACGTCTTTATTTTATTTTCGTTTTCTTCAAATATCGAACTTAATCAAGGGTGTCAACATATTTAATTTTATTTACAAATGGCAGAGCCTTCCGTAATTGGATTTCGAAAGGAAAAAAAAAGTCGCGTTACTCAAAGTATGCGGATGCTTCTATTTTGTTGACGACTCGAGCAGTCGTGATAATTTTCAAACTAGGCTTGCTATTATTATTTCCCATTTGTTGTGTGATTGGTTCATCCACAGCTTTCTTTGTTCCCGAAAGTAACGCCAACGACCTTGCTCCTACCTACCTACGGGACCTGACAAGCCAGGCAGCGAGGCGCAAAGGTAAGGTTAGTCCGGTTCGGAAAACAAGGATATTCATAATCGGTTCCCAGAGCAACTTCTTCTCGGGGCTCCACTTCACCGGAATTATATACGATCTCACGTCCTGAGAACGATGCGTGATAAAATCACAGACAAAGCGCAGCGCGAGGTGCGTATTGTCGAAGCGAAAAGGGCATTGTGACCCAGCGGGTTTTTCTTGGCGGTTTTGCCATGTCCTTTGTTCCGAATTAAATAAAACTTTATACATCTGAATAACACCCTCGTCGTCCCTTCAAAATTCCGCAACCGCACGTTTCACCCGCAATACTCAGAAACACACAACAAAAAACCTCTCACACGCTTGCTCCTACACACACATACAGATACACACGTACCAAATGCCTCTCATCTCCGAGGACTTTAAACGTGTGGTGTCTTACCCAATTTTTCAGCTCGCGCGCAGGCTGAAGATAGGGCCCAAACACGTCAATTCGACTTGCGTGACATCTATCAGTACCAAATCATCGGTCGTATCGGTTCCGGGCCGGGAGACAGTTAACGCCGCACGGCTTTCCGATGGAAAGGGAATCACGGAGGCTGCGTTTCACAAGGGATCATGTTTTTCGGCAATGTCAGCGCCCGACAAGTCTACTGCGTGGAAGGGATTGCCCGGCAGAAGGCAAAGTTATAATGCATATATCAAACCGGTTCGCATATCGGTGACCTCCAGTCTTCCAACGCCAAACAAATGTAATGATGACGATACGAGTACGGACTCGATACTCTGCGACGAGAAGGACACTTTCTGTGTGGTGCCGATACCAGCCGAGTCCGTCAAGTTCCCATCCAAGGTAACTCTGCCGGACGGGAAGAAGACTGTGGACACAATAATTTGCGAGGATCCGTGTGAGCCTCTGCTCGCTCAGATAGGACGAGTTGAAGCCAAAATCACAAAGGCGAAGGCCCGAGATGAGCCGCCTCCGTTTAAAACGCCGCTGCGCGCCAAGCCTTCGATAAAGAGGATCATGGGCCGGGACATGCTCGCGCAAGAGACAATCCGCGACAATCTGTACTTGTTTGGAAAGTTGGATCACAGGTCATCGCTGTCAGAGGTGATTGTTGCAACGGAGGCGCTGGGTGCTTTGTACAGTGAACACAGCGAGATGGTGGATGTGCCTTCGGACGAAATAGTGGCGATGTATCTCGGAAACGCGCGCTCGTCAAACTCGCCCAAAGTCATGACGGCAGACAGGAAGGAAACTTTAATGACTGAAGGTTTGGCGAAACCGACAAAACAGGCGCACACGCCCCTCCGAATCGTCGTTCCAGACCGCTCCACCCCACTCAAAAACTTCCACTGGCCATTGCCTCCTCCCTCTCCTGTCTCAAGGCCGACAGCAGACATTAACACGCATTTTCCAAATCCAAACTTACACCTGGTGGCCCCCTTTCTCTTCTCCCTCCCTCCAGAACCACCATCTTCCACGCCCTTCGCATCCCTCCGGCCTTCTCCCTCCCGTCGTCCCAAATCCGCCATCATATCCGATATTTCATTCATACCTTCAAGTACACCTCTTCCTTCCTCCAGACGAAAATCCACTCCCATCCTAAACCACAACCACACTCTCCATCAGATCACTGGCTTTAGGCGATACAGGTACACCACCGAGTGTCCTCCCCGCACCGCTATTCCCAGCGTCGATACGGTACATCCTCTGGACACCAGCGGTAACGCCCAACCTTCCGCCTTCACATTTGGAAAGAACGCGATGCGGAAAGCAAGATTCAGTATAGCCAATAGGTTGGAAAAGCGTGGTGGGCGCCCCGTATCAGGCTTGATTGCGTTCTGGGAGGAGTGGAGGTTTGATGCAATCCGAAGAGGAGATGATGACTGGATTGAAAATGTACGAGACCATCAAGGATTATATCCTTGATTGCATTTGCAAAATTTCTCCCTTCACGGCCAGGTTTTTTTTTTTTGTACTACTTACTAGTCGAGCGTTTTTTATATGCTTGTATATATATATATCTTCTTTTTCTTTATTCTGCGAAGTTCTTGATGGCATTGGTGATAACACCGCATACTTGTCGTGAAAAGCTCCATGTCGGGAAACAAATCAAAATAAAATAAAATAAAATCAAAATAAAATAAAATAAACGTATATAACCTCAAAAGTATTGAGACGACCGCAGGATTCGAACCTACGCAGGCAAAGCCTATATGTGATTTCTAGGTACACTCCTTAACCACTCGGACAGGTCGTCATTGCCATTTCAATGTTCGTGCCATTTTTTTATTTTATTACATAACTAATTTATTACATAACTAGTAATTTCCGATATACCCATGGATCATTAATAATACCTCTTTCACAAGTGTCTCGTGCGATTCTGGAACAAGAGGATCCGACACAATTCATTGTCCCAATGGTTCGCCAGAGTAGTATTCAAAGAGTGAATATTGACGATTACGACTAAAGTAGGCACAGCAAAATACAAACGATAATTGAGTAACAAAAGTGACAAATAACTTGATGATAATAATAGTAATAGAAAAGAGAGGAGGCTTTAAATGTACAAACGGCGATCAGAAAAATAATGAAAAAGTCCTTGAAATAGTCTGACTGACCAGAGAAATGCACGAGATTTGGTGCAATGAATATTAGAGAACCGCCAAAACACTAAAACACCCAAGAATCAAACCCCAAAATTAAAGTCCCGGATCATTCTACGACCATTATTTTAACTTCCGTCTTCTTTGCTGGTTCATTTTGACACGGTATCTCGAGTATAACCCAAATAAACATCGTGAATTATATCGCGGCCGAAGAAGATACAAACGACGGACGGCGGCTCGACCTGCCAGCCACCTGCGCGTACATTTGCAATGCTCGAACGATGTGCATCGGGTCGACCTCGATCGCCTCGCCGAGTTGTTCTAGAACTTTGGCAAAGTGTCCGACCTTTTTGAGGTAGAGGGTATTGGCAGCGTTCTATTTATTTACATAAAATAAAATTTATTAGTTAAGTAAATCATATCTTTTCGCAATCAAGTGAGGAGAATATAACAAGAAACAAACGTACCTCTATTCTCGTAATGAAATGCTCCATAATCTTTAATAACTCCAAATCATCAGCGTGCTCATCTACTGGAAGCATCAACGGGTCATCCATGTAATCTGATATCGACATACGATTTCCAACAATTATCTGCGGATTTGTACATATTGAAACCACTTGCTCCAATCGCAAGCACATGTACCCAAGCGCACGTATCATCTCGGGATTCAAAATATGGGAACCCGTCATATCGTAATTGCCCAGATTTCTATCCGTCTGCTTTTCTTTCTCCACGCTTGGCAACGTCAGCCCGGCGGTGGGTTGCGGAGTGTCGGCGACCATGGCCTTTAGTTTGTCGTATTCCATACGATCCGCCAACTGCTTGGGATAGACGACAAAGAGCAACTCGGGCGTTTCGAGACCCTTAAGCTTGATCTCACCAATCTCCATCATACTAAACCCGAGTTTCCTAAGCTGATACCTTGGGTCATTACCATTCCCGCTTCCACTTACATCGGGCTCCAGATCTAGGTTCTGCAATGCAGCGATTACATCAGACGACACGCAGATCTGCCCACCATCCGCGACGTTACAAATACGGCTTGCACGGTTCACGACAGGACCAAAGTAGTCCATGCGATTCGTGATGGGGTCGACCTCGCATACGGGCTTGCCCCAGTGGATACCCATCCGGACTGAGAGGCCCCTGTAGATGAGCTTGTGAGTTTCCTTTGCAATAATCTCTCGGCCGTCTTGGCAATTGAGGATTTGCTGCGGCCATTCTGATTCCAGTAGATTGATTTGGACGGTAAAGCACCAGAGCAACGCGGAAGTGATGGAGGAAAAGGTTACCATGAAAGAATCACCCTCTGTTTTCACTTCATAACCGCCCGTATCACGCAAAAGTCGTCGCATGGTGTCATTGTGCATCTTGATGGCAGGTCGCATGGCATCACCTTGTGTCTCCCATAAGAAAGTTGAGTTTTTAATGTCCGTAAAGCAAAGAGCAACTTCACCCACTGGAGCCGCGATTTCTTTGTCCAACCTCGCCAATGTCTATTATTTATGAATAAATGTATAGTTAAGTGATGTGAAAATTACGGTAAACCAAGGAGTGGTATAGAAGAAAGACAGTTTCTTCAAATGAGGTTTTTCCCTCTCCTTCCTTCCCCCCCTTTTTTTTTTTTTTTTTTTTTAAAAAAAAAAAAAAAAAAACAAAAAAAAAAAAAAAAAAAAAAAAAAAAAAAAAAAAAGAGGTACTTACGCTATCTCCTGGGGCACCTCTTCCTCTATTCCTATCCTTGGCCGGCTTGAAGATTCCCATACCCGGGTCATCCATACTATCATTAAGATTAGCACGCCCACTTGCGCTTCCACCACGTCCGGGCCTGTATTTCTTATCTCTCCGATCAAACAAATCTCCGACCCCGATGCACATGACCATTAAACTTTCTTCGGCGCCATATGTGATGGCAAAATCCCTCAACTTTTGAGCAGCTAGCATCAGATCTTCACGCTCGGTCCTTGCGATATCTACGGCCGTTTGATAGGACATGCGATCCCATAACCCCTTGGATGCCATGATGACAAACTCGTCCTGCTCCGACAGATCGATGATGTCGATAAACGGGTTGGCGTTGACGACTGGAAGCAGGTGGAAATGGCCAAAGGAGCGGGAAACGGCCAGCTCACCGTTCAGCAAGCCCTTTTCGGAGACGAACCCTCCGGCGGCACGGATACGAGAGACCTCACTCGGGTTGAGAGGGATGTGCTTTTGCGAGATCTCAGTTGCCAAAAGTCCATGGCTGCGCGAGATAACGACCCGAGCGTCCCCAACGTTGGCCACGTAGAGCTTGTAACCGGAAATATAGCAGACAACGGCCGATGCACCCGAATCCTTATCGTCAAGGCCCTGGCTGCCGAGTTCTTTCTCGAGGTTCAAAAAGGTGCGACGGAGCGCCGAGACTATGGTATCGTCATTCTTGAGCTTGTTCAACTCTGAATTAAAAAACTTTGTAAAAGAATCGAACAGAAACTTTGTAACCTTGCAGCCGTTGTTGGGGTTTTTACGGCCGTCGAACAAACCGAATAACGACTCGTCATCTCGTGAACGGAATTTCGGCACAACAAGATCCCATGTAGTCATATGCTCGTCCTGGGGGCCAAGCCAGTCAGCCATACCGTATGCCATAGTGTTCACATCAGAAGGCGACGTGCGAATACGGCGATCATCCGATTCATCCGGGACGGTAATACTAATAGTAACGTCCATAAGGCCGAGGACGCGGAGGCGCACCAGAGCCGAAAAATCGGAAAGATTTCGCTCGCGGGGAACATTCCCATCCATTTGGCCAGCCTTGATCTCCAGACGCTTATTGCCGGACATATTCAAATATTTAAGAGACAAGTTCCAATTCCTGATGGATAATAAAATTATAGTAAGCACACGTCAAAAAAAAAAAAAAAAAAAAAAAAAAAAAAAAAAAAAAAAAAAAAAAAAAAAAAAAAAAAAAAAAAAAAAAAAAAAAAAAAAAAAAAAAAAAAAAAAAAAAAAAAAAAAAACGCTCAATCGTTTCGAAACGACTCCATGTCATACCACCCGACCCATCACGTATTTTTTTACCCACCAATTCCAATCATACGGCCAATTGTTGGTGTTATACTTTAGAACATTACTTCCGACATCCAACACCACCAGCTTCCTCAACTTTCCCAACTCTGCCGGCAACGTTTGCAACTTGTTTCCGTTTACATGCAAAACACGCAGATAACTCAGCTTTTCAATATCATCAGCAGGCAGGCTGGCGAGCTGATTGCCCGACAAATACAGTTCGAACAGATGCGTGTGGCATAGACCGTATGTCGGAATCTCCCTCAAATCGTTGAACGCTAGATTTAACGTGCGCAGCTCAGAGAATAGCAGTAAAGGTGTAAAGACATCATCCGTGAGCCGGTTATCTCCGAGAAACAGGTGCCGCAGAGAAAGCGAAAGCGGCGGCGGGTGGTTCCGTGGACTGGCGAAGAATGAGGGCGGGTTAAAGTTGGAGACAGAGGCAGAACCTGTTGACGACTGGCGATCGGCCGGTGATGCCGAAACGGGCGTTATATTGGGCACGACACCCTGGCCAGCGTTCGTACCGAGGGTCGGCGGGCCGTTGATGTTTCCAGTGGCGGCGGCGTTGGCTGCCACATTTGGCGTGACAATAGCATCAGCTGTGGGTCTGAGCGCGAGGTTGAGGGCGACACCTGGGGCTGAGAGTGGATTGGGAAAAGTCTCGAGCAGGTTTGAAGAGCAGTTTAGTGTCTGAAGAGCCGGGCAGAGCCAAATCTCCTTTGGTAGGGTCTTGAGATTATTTTTTTGAAGATCGAGGCTCTTGAGCTCGCAGAGTTTAGCAATCTCAACAGGAATGCTCTGAAGATAATTGTTTTGTGCAGATAGACGAGTAAGGCGTTGCAGGGTACCAATGGAATTGGGTATCGTTGTAAGGAAATTGGTATCAAGAACGAGAGTTTCCAGGACAGGACAGTTAACAAACACATCTTCGGGAAGAGCAGAGAGTTTGCAAGCCATGATATTGAGCTCGACGAGCATGCTGATACTGGCGGACTCTTTAGCCGACGATCTCAGACTGAACTGCGTGAGATGATTCTTGCACATTTTAAGCACCTTAAGCGACTTGAACTCGCTCGCGACAATACTGACAGAGTTGTAATCGACAGATAATACGTCAAGGGCCGGTAGTTTACTCAAAACCTCAAGATCCGTAATGGCATTCTGACGGACATCCAGCTCGCGGAGACTGACCAGCTCCGCAAAACTCTCCGGAAGAGCGCCAGCGAGCTGGTTACCGACCGCGAGGAAATGAGTAAGGTTGACAAGCTGGCCAATGTTCTCAGGTAAAGAGGGAATCTTGTTGAATGAAATGTCAAGCTCTACAAGAGAGATAATGTCGCAGATGACGGAGGGGAATGATTCAAAAGAGTTATTGGAGATATGGAGCTTGGCCATATTTTTGAACAAAGCGAAGCCGTCCGGAAGGCCCTCAAGATGGTTGTTGAAGGCGAGTAAGCTGGAGAGGTTCTTGATATTTTCGAGCTTCGCGTGCTCAAGATTGTGTAAAGAATTGCAAGAGATGTCCAAGTGCTCCAAGTTCTTGATAAGAGATATAGAGCCCGGGAGCTGACCTAGTTCAGTATTGGCGAGT